CTACAATGTAGCTGCCATCACCAGTGTGTGAATGGGTGGATGACTGGATATGTAAAGCGCTTTGGGGTCCTTAGGGGCTAGTAAAGCGCTATATAAATACAGGCCATTTACCATAACTGTGCAACTCTTATGGTGCAAATGCTATTTTTAGATCGCTCCATGTTCGGGTACAAGCACTTGTGCATTTATGACAGGCTTGGATCTCCTCTGATGTGTTACAGCACTGACCCTTTGGGAGAGGAGAAAGTCACAAGGACTCAGATCTGGTAATTAGGGTTTGAGGAGTGGCCACAAGAGCAGTCATCACAGTTCAGGCTGTTTCTCTGTCTCTCTGTGCAAGTTTAAGGTCCACGGTGACGTTGCCAACACACAAGAGCAAGCTCACAAGGTCGAAAGGAAGACCTCCACAGAGCAATCAAAAAATACCAGCTGCACGGGGAGCAGTGCTTCAAATCACACCTTGCCTTTATATACCTACAATAAGTGTTGGGGAGTAACGGAGTACATGTACCGCCGTTACGTATTTAAAATACAAAATATGAGTAACTGTATTCCGTTACAGTTACCGTTTAAAAAGGTGGTATTTAGAATACAGTTACTTTGTTGAAATAAATGGATTACACTGCGGTACTTTCCTGTTTCATTTTGTCGCGGGTCAGGACTGTTTGGTTTGTTTGTTCTGTTGTTCCAGGCGGCAGCGTTACGGTTGCCATGGTTACAGGGTGACGCTCTCTTTGTGTGTTTCCTGGTGAGCGAGCTCCTTTTTGTTGTTTTTGTTGTGCTAAGCTAATAGGCAGAATGCTACAGCCTGATGGGCAGTGTAGTCCGTGCTGCAGGGAGAATGGACTGCCATACTCGTTATGAGTCTGTGAGCGAGGGAGAAGAAGGAGAGTGGAAAACTACGAGTTGTCATCGAGCAGAAACGGGAGCTGGAAGCATGTAAATATAATAATAACCACTGCAGCCAAGAAGAGTGCCTGACGAGCCCAGCTGTAAGTAAGCGATTAAGACTCGACTGTACACCGTGTTCCTGTTTTCCTCCAAAACAATAAGTTCCATTGAAGCAGCCTTTCAACGCCTCTCTCTGTCTCAAACTTGACCCAGACAACAAAGTAAAGCTAGTTTTCGGCTACGAGCCCGACACGAACTCTACGTATTAGTCAGAGGTCCCTTTACTACGGTTCGGAGTCGCGGACCTTCAGTAATCGTAATAAATCACAGCAATAGTACATCCATGTAGTTGTAAAAAGCATGATAATATATTAAGTAATCCAAAGTATTCAGAATACGTTACTCTCATTGAGTAACGTAACAGAATACGTTACAAAATACATTTTGGGGCATGTAATCTGTAATCTGTAGTGGAATACATTTTAAAAGTAACCTTCCCAACACTGCCTACAATATATTCTTTGATACAAGATCAATTTATTATCTTTAGTCCAAAAGATGCTGTTGGCATCATTTGTATACGAGGCATGAAGCTCAACTCTTGTTCGGTGTTTTTCGACATGATCAAAGATGCATTGTTGAATCATATGAAGGTTTCTTGCATCCACTTGCGTTTTTGTGCTTTCTGTCAAAGTGTCACAATTACAAACATCCTGCAGAAATGACATTGATTTCAGAATCACATTGAAAGTTTTTACATAATACAAAGCAGAGATACATGCACACCCACAGCAGGAGACAGAAGGATGAAAGAGTGGTTATCAGTGGGACTGGAGCTGAGCTGTTAGCTCCTAGTGGTATACTGCTTGATAGACGAGATCAGCTGAGGACAGAGAGAAACACATTACACGGACAAAGGGGAGCAATCAGAGGAGAAAAATTAAGTAATGTTTCTTGCCGGGTTTTTTCTACCAGAAACTTCCTCTCTTATCTCCCTAAAGCACATTCTTTCTCTGTCTCTCCTTTTCTCCTTCACTCTATTCAGCCACCTAGTCCACAATCCATCTTTACTTTACGCTATCTCTCCTTCACATGCCTTAGCCAAACAGAAACAGGCAGAGAAGGTGGATGAATTATGAGTGGACGAGGGAATTTCAGCCCACTCCGGCACATAACAGAACAGAGAGACAAACGGCAGGACTACGTGAATTAAAGATGACAGGAACCCTGCCGCTGCTTGCTAGCTGGACGCTGCAGATGGAGTTCAATGCAGCTGAATAGTCTGAACCTCCGGAGCATGCAGAGGGAAAAACATGAAAGCGGCAGATGGATTTGTTTACTTGTAGATGGAACTGCCATCCTCTTTCTAGGAATGAGCGCAGACATGCAAACACATGCCTGAGTGAACGCATACACCTAAATGTCCTTACGTCCCACAACATCCTCCCAAAGGTGTGAGATGTCAGACACAATCATACAAATCTCAGATGACCTTATAACCCACACTGCTGCCTCAGGGCATCGAGACAAACACTCCTAGTTACACTAACTCCAGGAAAGAGTTTCACAAAACTTTGCACTGGCTGGAAACACTGTTACACCAGGAATCAATACGGCGTGGTAATTGCAAGTGCGTGTGTACGAGGGAAGGCTGCGTGCAGCCTTTCAATGTCTCCGTCAGTGCAGCTGTGCTTACCTGAGGTGAATATCAAGCAGGAAAACTTCATTTACCATTTGCATAAAAATGCTACTGTAATACTACACATCAGAAATGTTATGCTATTCAATCTCTGCTTGCTTTTAAATCCTGCTGCATTTCTCATTCGTTTCTGCTGGACCTTTCACTGTCATCACTGCATAGAAAATAAAGCTACAGCAGCAACTGAAGCCACTGCATATTTCCACTTAGGACAATAGTAATAGGTTTGATCTATCACATGCTCTAAAAGGTCCATATCGAATGCATAGCAGCAGACCAGGAGACTCGATCCACTCCCGAGCCAAAGCTCTTGTCCATCTGTGTTCCTATGACTCTCACTAACTACTGGACTCCTCTTGGCAGGGCTCTCAAAATCCTCTCTTCAGCCTTTACAACTCATCAAGTATTCTGCTGTCGGCCTTCTCCAGTAACACCACCCCCTCCCTGCACTCGATCTTTTGGCTGCCTGTGACTGCTCGTATCAAAATCAATACAGGGATGCTGCTGTACACTTCTTGAGGAGTTTCCATTGAACAGGTGTGTCAACTTACATACATACATACATATGTACTGTCTTGAGCCTGATACTCGGTTAAAGTTGCTTTATTGTACACCTGAACCTGATATGCAGGGATTATTTTGAACTGTAACTGGACTGGTACTCATGTAGTGCCATAGTGGAGCTTTCTATTACAAGTCTCATTCACCCAGTCACACATACATCCATGCAGAACTTTGCCTAAGAACTTTCTAACACAGGGGGCAACTCTGATTTCACCAACTTGCCCAAGGATACTTTGGATGTGGGCTGGAAGAGCCAGAGATCGATGCACTGTCCTTCTAATTGGTAGGCAACCTGCCCTGCCACCTGAGCCACAGCTGCCCAGTTGTGAATTGTACTGAGCTGCTCTAGAATAAGAATGTGGAGCTGGGAACGAGCATGACAGGTCTACTTCAAGGACACCCGGCGTATGAAAAATGATCAAGTCCTGAATGGGGGACATGCTGCTGTCAGACGTTAGTCATGAGCCAACATGAGACAAAAGAGTAAATGTGTGCATAATTCAGAGAGCGCTGTATCAGTTTCAGTGGATGGGCTATTCTGTGTGCAGTGATAGTGCATATATGTGTTTTTTACAGCGTGTCTGTTGATGCACGCGTGTGTGAGTCCGTCTACGTTGTCACATACAGTATGCTCATTTCATTATTCAGATACTGGACAGGCCTCAGTGAGCAGCTCCGGCTTAATTATTCTGTGCTGCTACGGGTAGACAGATCACACACCGACACTGCAGCGTCCCCCCAGAATATTGAGGAGGATAAGATGACAGCGAGTTTTATAGTTTAGAATTTTCACTTTTGCAACATCAGCATTTGTCTAAGATGTTCTCGCTCTTGTTTTTTGTTGTCCTTCCATCCAGAGTGGAGTGATATAAAAACAGTTAAAAGCAATTATTCATAAACATGCAATTATGTGTGCACAGACCCCGACTTGCAAAGGGCCAGCGTATAGCCTGCGTTTGGGGATCATCTGGACTTTATAATGGAATCTATCATCACCACTAATCTCCACACCTGAGCTGCAGCAATGGCAAAATGTTTATTAACCAAATATCTCCATTAAACACATTTAATGTTAGTTTCCAGGAAATAAAGGAAGTGCTAGTGATTATGTCTTGATGAGCCTTCATTCTAAGCAGTCACGATCACTCACATGATAAATCGCTGACAGACAGAGCTGCTTTAGGACTCTCTCTACAAAATTGTCATTCATGGCTCTTTTGTACTAATCTGACTTGGATTCTGAATTTCCGCTGCTAATAGCTACGCTTGCAGCAGGCCAACACACGCTTGGTCACCAGTGTTGATTTCACTGGCCGGTCATTTTCCTCAACGACCAAAAATAACAGGCTGAAATGTACTGACCCTTTTGTGAGTGAATAAAAATGAGATGAAAATATTCTGGAGAGACGAGATCCAATCAGAACTAATTAAGTTCTGCAGAAGACGGGAACTAGCGTCCATGCTCCCTGTCTCACGACAACGTGATAAAATATCAATGCATGGGAGGAAGAGTGGAAATATGGGCACATTTCACATTCAATGTCAAGGAAAAACATGACAAACCTTTACACTTTCCATTTTTGTCAGCTGATTCAACTTTAGATCTGGTGTACTGTACTCTTACCATATTTAGTTGACTAAAACTACACTGAAACTAAAAGAATTTAGATGCCTACATCATGACTAAAACCCAAAAACTATGACTGAACCTAAATCAAAATGGTCACAATCAGCACTGTTGGCCACTCACCCTGTCCTCTTCCTCTCTGAGGTCTGGCATCGTGCTGATACATAAACTGACAACAGTCACGGCAACCATGATCACCGACAGGCAGGCAAAGATCTTCCCAGGTAAGCCTGACTGTGGGTTTTCTACCATATCTCTTAGCCAGTTCATCACTTTTCTGTATTGTGTTTCCTCCACTGTCACCCGCTGCATGGCGTTTTTCTGCCTGCGCTCCTGCCGACGCCTCTCTTTCTCGTGCACTTCCTCGATGCGTGTGTACATCTTCCTCTTGCAGCAGCGCTCCATGTACGCCATCTCCACGCCCCAGTAGGTCAGCTCATCGTGCAGGGAGAGGATGCACATCTCTCGTAGCAGTCGGAGTTTCCCTGCAGCCAAGAAGTTGAGGATAACCCTAAAGGCGGATGGTGAGCGGTCGAAGAAGAACTCCTTGCGGGCTTCATCGTAGTCGTCACAGATGCTGGCGATGTCCTCAGGTGACCTGCAGCCACAGAGGCGGCCAAGTCGTGTGAGGGGAAATTGCTCCAGTGTGCTCCAGGGGAAGGTGTAGCGGTTTCCACCGACATTGATCACTGCCAAGGAAGCATGGTCGATGGACAAGAGGTCCTCTGGCCGACGGATGAACTGAGCTCTTTGGTAGTACACACCCTATAGCACGAAGAATGAAACGGTGATCATTGTTATACAATTTGAGAACTTGTTTAATATAAAACTTCCCTAACCGTTAAATTTACCAGCAATCGTGTTCATACCTTGATAGTCTCAGTCTCTGGGATCTCAGTGAATATGTGGTCGAGACTGCTGTCATCACTGACGGACAGATTGCTGAAGTCATGGTTGGCATTGCTGATGATGGGCATGGCAGCATTCACAGAGCACTGTGCTTCGATTGGAGAGTGGACAGCTCAGACCAGATAGCAAATACAGAGAGAGTCTGCAGACAGTGCCCTCTGAAAAACTTTTCAGTCTCAATAAACATCAGTTTTTCTGATTAACAGATCTGAAAAAGTTTCCCTGCTACCGTAGGAAAACAGAAGAAAGAAAAGGTGCAGTGCTGTTTTCCTTTTTTTGGTCCCCAACCAACAGAGCGTCATGAGGTAAGAGGTCCGCAGCAGACTGAGTCTGTGTACCAGACTTCAACATCAAATCAGTGGGTAATCCTGTTCTGAAGCCAGTCTAGCAAAGGCAAGCCTGAATAAGAGGACTGATCACTGGCTGATAGCTGCAGAGAATGAGCTGCATGAGGAGCCACATTTGCAGTGCTGGGGTGTTTGGGGAACTGAGGAAGATCCTCTGTGTCACCACAACAGGATTAGGGAGGGTCTAAACCCGTGGTGGCATCATGCAGGCAACTGAAAGAGAGACAGAGAGAGAGAACTGTTAGAAAGGAAGCAAGGATGGACTGAGATTAAGGCATATATGACAACACAGAGCAAGAATAGGAAAGACTGAGAACAGACCCAAGACTGAGAAACCTAAAGGAGACTGCAGTGCTAGAAGCTCCTCCCTCCTCTTTCACTTCTTTTCAATGAGAAAGAAGACAGTCACATTTGCTGTACTGCTATAAATGGCCCGTTGCTGAATGCATAGGCGAGGAATTTTTCGCTCATGTTCACATTGAGAGAAAAATGATCTGTTAAAAATGAAAGACTAACAGAAGAAAAGAACATTCAGGTTCACGGTATGATTCACACTCAGAGTACGTTATTGGCCGTGTGCTTCAGTGTCTGTTGCACAGCGCAAGGTCCAAAATGTTTGCCGTTGGCAAAACAACTTCCCTGAAACTTACTGGCACTGTTAGCTGTTAAAGTTGCCCAGAATGGTGAGTTGTGTCAGAGCTCTAAAGAGTTATAGTTAATACTCTGATTTCAATGTGAGCCCTCTTATTGTGTTATTTGACATTTAATTGAATTCAACAAACACTCAGATAATCCTCTGTAGTTTGTTTTTGTATCCTGTTACTAACAATACAGCTGCCTTATATTTGGCTGTCCTCCACTTTTCTCTTGGCAGCTTTTGGTGTGAATAAAATGCTACAGTGACATTTCTTCAAATGTCCCAACAGTTTAGATAATCCTAATTTAAATTTCACAGTTTTCTACCCAGGACCACCAACACTAACACTGCAGTATTGTCATTGTTCTGCTTAGTATTCATGTAAAGTACATACAGGCTTATTGAATGTGTGAATGACACTTGGACGAACTGGATCGTACCCAAGTGCTTCGGTGCTTCAGATGCAGGAGGATAAGATCCTGTTATTGAGGAACCAATAAATCAGTTCTGTCAAGGTGCTGCTATTTCATTTCCACCACACAGGAAGAGGAGAGAATGATAAACTGTAGTTAACTGATCTGTAATGGATGTTCCCTCTTTTTTCCTACTGTAAAGTTAATTGAAGGAAGCGTTTACACTGTTACTATCAGCTACTTTTGGTGCAACAATAGACACAAATCCAATAGGTTAGATGGTCAGTCAGTTAAAATGAAATTCCTATTGTTGTGTATTTTCTTTAGAATTCAGTAAGCAGAGTTTTATTGAACATTGTGACATTTAGAAATCCTCCAATTAACTTATGAAACCGGCTAAAAGTTAAAGTTGTATTAAAATGAGAATACGTACAATTCTGTTTTGTCTTTTAGATTCTTGACTCTGGGAGTTTCCTATTAAGTGGCTGTGCTGCATGCAGCATTCATTCAGGGAGCTTATGTTATATTCATAGTCAGTCAACAGTGACTGCGTTTGTCAGGAGCTGCTGGAGAGGCAGGGATGCTTTATGTTCAGCAGGAAAATCTCTCTCTGTCTCTCTCTCCCCAACTTGCAAAAGCACACACTGGGAAACATTTTTACGCCCTTATCTCGAATAGATCTCTAATTAAACTCGGTTAAATCTGTCGCGTAATTACGATCATATAACCAACTCTCGGTTGGAGGATTGTTGCAGAAAAGATAATAATAATAATAATAATAATAATAATAATAATAATAATACGACCCCGAAAGTCAAATGTGGTTTGAAGGACATTTTAAAGACCGTAATCTTACAATTGATTCGAAACAACTTCATATTTTGGATACACTTAGTTCCAAATAAAACTCTCAAACACAAAGTGTGATCATTTGTCCTCCTCTGTGTTACAGTGTTGGCGAGATAAAAAGAGACTTGTATTTCATTACAACTTCAGACAAATGTAAAAACTACAAACAAAACCCCTGCAGACGTCGATACAACTTATGAGCACACCTTACCGTCCTCAGCCCCGCGCTCATTTCAGACGGCCGGATCGATTTTGAGTAAAATCCCTCAATGTCGCCTCTCAATTCCTCCGATCATTCAGCGCCACGTCAGGGAGTCAGCGGTCATCACCAGCCACCACATGTCACAATAACAGGGACGCCTTTCCGGCGTCATCCACTCCGATGGAAGGCGCGCAGACAGTCTGAACATACCGTTGATGGGAAGCGAGTAAAGGTTTGGAGCACTGAAAGTGTCCCGTTACAGCTCGCGGAGCGGTGCTGCAGGAGGAGGAGGAGGAGGAGGAAGAGCACGGGAGGAGGGAGTCGGCGCTGTGGTGCGCAACAGAGGAGACCGTGGATAGCTTACCCAAGTTCAAGTGTGCGTAAAGGTGACAGCAGGTACACAAGTGACCGGGAAAAGGCGACTGTGTGCAAGTTCCAGAATACACAAAGGGGGCATTTCAGCAGAAATGCGGGCATCGGGTGGCTTTTGTTGTCCGCTACCTTTTACACAGTGTGTAATTCAAGGACACTGAGGAGATGCTATCCTCCATGTTTCCTACCCTGACCGCTTCACGCGCAACAGGGGGCGCGGTTCGCCCCGGAATTACCTTCACCAACACATCTGAACTCGAGCTCCAATTCAGACTCAGCTTGCAGTCAGCTTGTGTTTTATGTGTAAATAAGACCAAACTAGTGGCTTTAAAGAAAACACAGCAAGACAGAATATTTCACGTTACCTGATTTATCAAAAAACACAAACATCTCTGTGCTGTTCTGATGAGGTGAGCCTGTTTGCGCTGCAAATTGGACGGTCGACGAAGAAGGTGCTGTCAGAGTGAAATAGATTTTTTATAAATATTTTACTTGAACTAATCTTATAATTCAATAACTGATGGTCTTATTGCTTCCTATAGTTTACTGCTGTTTACTACTGGAAGATATGGGTTATGTAAAAAAGAAGAGTCATTGTAGGTTGAACCAGATGTTTGAATTACTATTTAAAGCCACACATAAAAGAGAAAAACTCGCCGGTGGGAAGGACAGTAATAAATCTTAGTAACACTGAACAGCTGGACAAACTTTGGACTGCGTCACAAGTACATAAATAGATGTGAGAGTTTAAAACTGCCTTTGAAAAGTGTAACTGTTCCAACAAAACTCATGCAGTATAATTCAGACAAGGTGAGAGTTCAGAGAATAAAATATCATCAGGCTTGTTTGCATCTCCAGCCTCAAACTTTGTCCTTGAGAAGCAGCTCATTGGGTTGTGTGTGCCTGAGGGAACTGCTAAAACAAGCAAACACTTTGGCCAGTCCTTTATGCCATCTAACAGAGCAGACAACACATTAGTGAGGCAAGAGATGGAAACTGACGAGGTAGGCAGGTGGTGCTCTGTGTGTGTGAGAGACATTCAGCTTATTTAATCCCTCCATCACTACTCATTAACCTACAGCACAGGAGGGCTGGTTAGTGTATGCAACATGACACTGATCACACATGCTGGGCTAAGAGTTCTGTGTTTTCTGTTTTGGTTGTTTTTATTCCTGCACAGCTGAACAGATTAGGCACCGCACTGTGACTGTAATGCAATATAACCTTTTAATGCTGTGTGTCACTTTCTTTTGCTTTATCACACACGTGAAGACAGAGAGAGAGAATCACTCGCACACCCACATGGACACATGGAGGGTTTTCAGTCTCAATTTTAGCACAGGTGGTAGACAGGGAACACCCAAGCCTCTAACATTAAACCAGCTAACATCTTTATCTGCTGCACTACCCCCTTGTATCAACTCATTCTTCCCTCAGGTCACTGTTATTTTTTTAATCTCTCACACACACACACCTGCAGCTGTCCACCATCCGTCTCACAAACGCCGCAGTGCTAACACAGACATGCACACATGCATGAGAAAACACAATGAATACCACAGCCCTGCTGGTACTAATAGCAAGCTTCAGTCTGGCGGATTAAGACTTTAATCCCTCACAGGCAAGCAGGGTTGAGATGAGATCGCTGCAGCCAGCATCCAGGGGTCTGATCAGCAACGGCATGAGGTGCGTGCAGGAGAGAAGCAATGAGTCACTGGGCTATTTCAAAAATAAATAAATAAATGTTTGAACAGATGCTTTCACACTGATGGCTACCTGGAGGTCCCACACGATGGAGTTGTCAAACTTTTCCACCCTAAAAGCTGCCTCTGTTCTCTGTCTCTGCTCTGATTTTACAGTCTTTCTTCTCTTTCTTCTCTCGGTGATTCTCCAACCAACTTCCCCCCCTGATATTTGTTTGATCTCAGTTCTACCGAGTTTTGATCAGGTTAACTGAAGGTGGGAAAAGACAGAATGCCTCTATGCACACAGGATAAAGACCAGTGAGGGGGGGCTAAGAGAACTGAGTAAAAATAGTCTCAAAATGATTAAATAAAGGAGAAGCATGAAGGAAGCCATTTGGTGGAGATGTCATCTGAATTTCAGGAGCGGGACCACTCCTCCTCCACGCCCCCTCTGGCCTCAGCCTATAAATCGCAACCTCGCGTTACGATTTGGCGGCAGCGTATTCTGTCAGTACATTATTCAGTTCGCTTCTCAGGCAGCTGCTCGCCTTCAGCAATTTAACCAAGACACCTTCCGGGGCAGTCCCGATCAGGAAATCTACTGCTGTCTTCTCTCTCCTGCAAGTTGTGTGGCGCCCCGTCATGTCCCACTTCCACCTGCATAGTCTCAGCCCAAAACGATTCAGCCCTCGCGCCGTCCCTCTGTTCTCTCCCACTTGACCCCAGCTCCCGTACCAGAACCTCTAAGCCCACAATCTCCACCCCAGCATGCCTTCGCCTCACGGTTCAGACAGGCGGGGCAGGCCCATCACGCACCTCGGAGGCCGCACCATTTGCCACGACTTCTACGAGTCCAGCTGTTCCTTGCCTCAATGCCGCTATATTCACTGCTGCTCCTTTTGTGGCGGCGGCCATTCCCGCCCCGAATGCCCCCTCAACCCCACCAGCCTCCACCCCATCCACATTCCGGCACTAGAAGTTGCCTCATTTAAAAAATAAATAAATAGGTGCTTCACCCCCTTGATGGCTCCCAGTCATACCCCCTCCCACGTCAC